GTCCATTGAGAGGATTTTCGTTCATTGAATATTCGTCGTGCGAATTTCTCTGCTGTTGAACAAATAGTCATATGCAAACAATGGTATTTTAAGAATGCAAAGCTTATGTATGTCTTGAAGTTTGAAAATTCATTTTTTTAGTAAACCAAACAAATTTTGTAAAAGTGTGATATCAACTCAGGATTTAATAGTAAACCTTACAGGAGTCAGGATACCTTTTGTAACAATATGCTTCCGAACTAACCCATGCTTCAGCTAGGACTTTTAAGGGTTATAACGTGGTCTGATTCACGGTTTAAGAAACAAAGGATAAAGGCTCAAAATTTATTTTTACCCAACCCGTTCTTCGTGATGTTCTTCCATCCTGTGCTCAGTTAATTGTGCGTTTAAATCCCGATTGAGTCTGGGACCTTTGCTCTGATACTTGGTGATGGTTCAGAAATTAAATGTTTGTTTGAGAAGGCATTCATTTTTATAACCTTTCTTTTTGTTGAGGATTTGTAGCGACCTCTTTTTTTTAATTATTATCCCTGCTTTTTCCTGAACTGTTTCTTTTGTGATTATAGTCAGCGGGATGCCCCATTTTTTTTCCTTTAAGTCTTCTTCATAGGTTTTGACTTAGCGGGCTTTTCTTTTGAAAAATAATGACTGTCGGCTTTAATGATTATGCGGAACCATCACCATCTTCTGATTTGGAAGGATTTCTTTGATGCCATTCATTATGTATGAAGTGGAAGATTGCGACTGACTGCGCATCTGAATTAACTGAGAAAACTAACCTGCCGCATGTTATGATTAAGGGTTTTAATTTGTGTGAAAAGAAAAACTCCTACTTCTTAGGCTCAAAGGGGTTGACTAGGGATTATATTCCTTGTAACTCCATTGTTTAAGATTTAAAATAATGCCTGTACATCATCAGCGGGGTCTGTTCAAAAGCATACTATAGAGATTGTGGTATCGTTTTTGTCACCCTCCCTCTAAAAGCTTAGAGCTTTTGATCGAGAGTTGAATATCACAAAAAAGGAAGAAAAAGCATAGTTTGAATATAATGAATACGGATGAAATAATTGAAAATAAAATATATGCAGTGCATTAATATGAATAACCAAAGTTTGACATAAAGCTAAATGTTTTTAAGCAACAACGAAATTACAACTGATAATTCAAATGAAATAAACGCTCTCAATTTTGGCCATGATTTGGCATGGGAGCAGTGATCACACTAGGGTCTTAGGAGAGTCAAATTCAACCTCCTTACTTTCGATCAAATCCTGAATCTTGTTCTTCAAAGTCCAGCAGCTGCAGTGTCGTGCCCAGAGCTATCAGAATGGTAAGCACATTTTATATTAGGATTGTACTTAGGAGAAGAGGTATCAGGTTTTTGAGGAGGATCCTTTAGTGTAATCAGCTCCACTTTTAACAATTGTTGTAATGCTTGAGACAAAGGCATATTAATATTAGTGTAATGCCTCTCTTGATACTTTATCCTACGCCTAATGCCCCGTTGATGTTGAACGGGTGTAGAACTAGACGTTAACACTGCTCCCACGGGCTGATGGTGGTTATTTGTATTATGGCGCCTTTGACCATAGACAACATTAATTTCTTTTTTACCACCAAATGGATTCCTCTCAGCATTAGAGGATGCATCCATTGGAGTCTTCCCACTCTTGATACCGTTTTTTATCCTTTCCCCAGTCAGAACCATCTCTGTAAAACCGGATGAAGAACTCCTAATCAGCGATTAAAGAACGAGCCTATCAGAGTGCCCATGAACATGTCTACCATTTCTCGATCATTTAGAGGAGGTTGTACCCTGCCAGCTATATCTCTCCATTTCTGGGCATATTCCTTGAACCCTTCTCTTGAGCCCATGGACATATTTTGTAATTGCACTTGAGTTGGTGCCAGGTCAGCATTGTATTGGTACTGCTTGTAAAAAGAAACAACCAAGTCTTCCTAGGTATGGATATCAGTTCCTCCTAGATTATAGAACCACTCGAGTTGAGTGCCACCCAAACTTTCTTGGAAGAAATGAACCCACAGCTTCCGGTCAGCAGTGTGAGGCTGGATCTTTCTGACATATAACCTCAAGTGAAGCTTGGGACAGGAAACACCGTCATATTTTAAAAAGATAGTGACCTTGAACTTAGGTGGGATGACCACTCCTGGAACCAACCCTAATTCTTCAAAAATTAGGCCAAGCACCCTCTAAATTTCCATTGCATTGAGGCGATCCTCCAACTACTTGTATTTGTTATGGGCCGGAGGATACTACTCTTCAGTATAGTCAACTTTATCTTCCTCATACACTGGATTGTTGTCTCCTTCCTCGGATTTCTCGTCACTCTCTTCTTGATTATCCCCCTCCTTTGATGGGGTTGCAAAATCTAGAGCTCAGTTAGTTGGTCTTCTTCTTCCCACACTCAAAACACGAACTGGTTTCTTTGCCTTTTTATTCTTGTCTTTGAGAACAAGAGCCTACATATCTTCTTGTCCCTTATCCAGATTTAGGAACATTTCTTGGAATTGAGCATTTTGTGCCTAAAGCATCTTAACTGTTTGTTCAAGAGCCATTTCTTTTTGCTTAAATAAACAGCTAAAAGATAAGAAACCTATTTTTTGATACCTGTTTATGCAATGACATGTATGATATGCGTATGCAATGTTTTAAAGGATCTCGCGGGGTAAATAAGAAAATGTCAGAAGTTGAATTGTGCTGCTTTGATTGAAGAACTTCGTATTATTGAAAGTCCTTCTACAAGAGTCAAGCTCACCATGTCGAGTGGGTCATAGCCCAATGAAACAACCAGCTGAACAATCAACTGATAATGAAATCAATGAAGTCACCATCGAATGTTTTTTATCCCACAAGAGGGGAAAGGTAAACATCGAGTAAACATGAGAAGGGTGAAATCAAGGTCGAAAGACCAAGAGATACGGGTAAGGGAGTCTGTTACGCGAGGGGAAGGTATTAGCATCCCACACGCCCATAGTACTCTATGGTATCCACTCATGTTGTCTATCTTATGGGTGTGTAAGAATATATATCTAGGCTTAAGGTCTAAAAGAAAATGAAGAGAGGGAATGCACGTAAAAGAAAAGAGAAAATAATGTAGGGAAAAATAAAGTTGTGCTCGCTCGGGCCCTACCCCAATTCGTACGTATCCCTTTTAAGGAATCAGAGCAGTCGTAGTTCGGCTTCAAATGTTTTTGTTGGTTTGTATTTTTAATGAATAATATTAATTTCTCCTTCTACCGCAAATCGACCTTTGGAGAATTACGCATCAACATAGAAGTGAATTAACATGTTCTTTTGAAAATATTTTGAAAGAAAATCCTGTAGGCAAGAAAGTTTATATTTGTTGGTGTTTTTGCCGCAGATAATGACTAATTGACCTCAAGAGAGAGATTTTATCAATTTCTCTACTTATTCACGAAATAAGTCTTTGAGACTTGAACCATACCAAAGATTAGAATAGGAGAATGATAAGATCGGGAAGAAACCCGCTTATCATATCTCATACTTAACAAAGATATGATTATCATCAGTAATTTTTAAGTGTTTTGAAGTTTGCAAGAAAAAGAAGTTTTTTTTTTGTTTTAATGCAAGGATGCAAAAGAAATAAAAACATCTAAGGGAGGCTAACCTAGATCTATCCCTAATTTTATCATATAATGGTTGATCCTAAAGTCGAGCTTCAAGGGAATTCTATCTAATGTTTGCATGCTTGGATTTAGAAGCCTATTGTCCAATTTTAGTTCAATTAAATCGAAAAGGGAATTTGAACCAAAATCTCCTAAGGAATCATGAAAGAACATACAAACAAAAAATTAGACAACAAGTATTAACGTATTGCATACAATCCATACCAAAAATCGCAAACAAAATACATGACATAAAAAGAATAAAACTAAAAAAAATTGTCTAAGAAATTAGTAAAAGGGGAAATGAATCTCTTGATTAATTCCTAAAAAAAAACATCACCTAAATCTAAGATTTTTTATAGTCTTTAGTGTGTATTTTCCATAAAAAAAAAACCTAAATCTACTAGAGAATTAATGCGTTCAAGGGGTGCTGAATTGGATTGGGGAGTAAACCAGCAAGTGCAGCCGCTGGCCTATTAGGCTGAGCCCAAGCCAATGTTTTTGTTATCCATTACCCTTGGTTCCAAACAAACTGAAATGGGCTCACTGAACAATGTAATTTGGCCCAGTCATGATGGCCTCCCCCTATTTCAATGATACCCGTTCACAAAAAAAAACATGCAGACTGGGGTCCAATGATAGGCCTCAACGAAAACCCAGCTTAGCCCAATATCGATTCTAATCCATTTTGCATTACTTGTACTGAATATCACCAAAAAACGATTTTAATATAATTAAAAATAAATAAAAAAATGAAGGGAATTAGGTTAATGTTTTCTGGGCGACGGTCCCAATTCTTCTTCTTTCCTCTCACAGTTGCGGTGATTTCTGCTCCTTCATTTCCTCCCTTAACCACTATCCTCAATATCTCCACTCTTATATTCAATTCGCCCGTGTCAATTCTACTTATCCCTCCAAAATTTTACCAAATAATAGAAAACCCAAGGGGCTTCAAGATCCAATTGAACGACCGTGAATACAGTTAGAGAAGGTTTAAGGGCGGCTTTACATTCACACTACTTGTTCTTACACACGTATCAATGGCTAAGTAAGAAGATGAAGGAGAGAAAGGGTTTGCAATGACTTACCTATCATAGGCACTCCGATGGTGATTTGACAGTGACGAAGGTGAGAAAACCAAAGATGAAACTTACGAAACCCAGGTAATCATTTTTTCTTCCCTTCTTTCCTCTTATGCTTCGTCTATCTCCTTCTTTTCCTTTCTTCTGCGATTCCCCGGTATTTGAGTTCCTACTATTTCAATTTGTTACCGTGTAGAAATATTGAAGGTGCGGAAGATGACGGTGCTTGAAAGATTATGCAGAATTGGAAAATTGAAGAAACAAATCAAGATGGGGGACTGGAGAGTGACATCGAATGAAGCGAAGGTTGATGCGATTCAGTGATGTGGAGTGAAGAAGATGGAGGTTGTGGTTTAAAGTTTGAAGCATGGATAAGATGAAGATGGAACTTTGAGAGAGAGGGAGAGAGGGTGATGGAAGAAGAAGATGTGTGTGAACTGGAAAAAGTAGTGGCGCTTCTATGTAGAATTTTTCGTTGTTTATATAGATGAAGCTGTTAGGAATTCGGTTGGAGGTGAATCAATCTCAGCCCTAGGATCTAATTGATTTTGTTATTAATTTGAGGGTGAAGAGAGAGTGGTTAGAGATGTTGGAGAGTTTGTTTCTTATCTTGTGGTGATTCTGCAGAATGAATGCCACCACCCATCCAAGATGAGTTTCCCTCTTATCATTATGTTACAGTTTGTAACCCCCTCTTTCTTTTTCTGTTGAAAAGTTGTTAGGAATTTGTTAAGAGTTATAGGGAGTTAGTTATTTATTTGTTTTGATTTTACATGCTTTCCCCCCTTCTGCTTCTCTAACTTTCTAGTTTTCTACCATTTCTTTATTGAGCTAACAATTTAAATTATTTCTGATATTCTGATTAAACCGTGACTGTTGTTTTTTTAGTTATTGATGCACAACCTCGTTATATCCTACTTTGGCATACCATGAAATTAATTATACAATTTTTGATGTGCAATTTAGTATTTGGCAGCCGGCTTGGAAGCAAGAGGCTGGTATTTCTTCTGACATTCCTGATCTTTTCCCTGTACTGTTACATTGAGATAAAAGAAATTCTATTATAGTGGACATCAGTCTGAAACATCTGTTAGAAGTTAGAAAAGCGAAGAAAGCTCTGTTAATATTTGTTAGCTTTTGGCTACTCAATTAGCTTAGTCTGATTGCGTTTTCTGGACAACTGATTTGCTTCCAATTTTTATATGGTGAATTCTTTGGTTATGCAGGTTTGCAAAGTATTGGCAAGGGTTTTGGAAATATCTGCTTTTGTAGACTGTAAGTGTGTTCTGACAGGGCTTGGAGCAGGTTTGTTTCACGCACACACACAACTGGAAGAATTGGTGACGATTAGGCTCTTGGTGATTGGCTGGAGGATTAGAAACGACATAAGTTTAAGACTTTTAGCCTTTATATCTTTTTTCTTGTACCATGTGAAGAAAACTATCATGTATATGATTAAGATCGCAACTTTCTTTGTATAGAAACGAGTAGAATTGCCACTTGGACGATAATATTGAATATGCTTTTCTTCACTTAAAACTTTGAGTGGAAATTTCTCATGAACGAAGCATCAATTTGAATCCTATAACAATATTCTTAAAATATAATGCATCCTTTTGAATTTTTATATAATAACAGATAATCATGATGAATGGAAAAGATAATAATGGTGAATGGAAAAGCACTTGAAGTTTGAAATTGAATGGCTGAACTCAAATGATTTGAATAATATGAATGGCCATGGAAGTAATTTCTACTTGTTTTATTTTCAAATGATTTTGAATTCGAGAATAAAATATTTGAATGAAACAAAGATGAATCATGAACTTGGTGCCCATTTGGGCACAAACCCCTTATCCACTTTAAGAAACTCAAATGTTGTGAACACATCATTTTGTTGCTATTATGATTAATTGACTTTATGAAATTTTGGCATCTTCTTCTGCAAGAACTTATGAAATAAACTTTTGGGCACGCCTTGTTTTGGGTCAAGTTTGAATTCTAATCCATGTTTGAAACCAAAGTTCTTGGACAAATATTCAAATGATAGTTTGTGCCACTCATTCGTAAAGCCTTGGCCGTCAAGCAACCAGACTTATCCCATAAGTATCCTGAATCATATCATTTTTGTCTTATGAATAGATGAACTCAATGCAACAATGATATAGTCAACGACCTGTAACCCAAGCATCACATGTATCCTGAATTGATAACACACTTGATCCTCGAGGGAAAACTTAGTACACCTCTAACATTGACGAAACCTTAACCATATGACAGGCACAATAATGGAATGAGGTGTCCTAATTCAAAGACCATGTACGCGAGATCACAACCTTAGGTTGTTGACAAGAACAATCTACAACCTGTTGTTCAGTAGAAGATAATAGCCTTATAGCTTGATGGTGAAAAAGTCCAGAAATGAGCATGAACCTAAACCCTAATTCTCCAGTCTTGTACACCAAGAAGAAATAGAATAATCAGTCTTATTCAATCATACACACATCAAATCAGTCATAAACCCTAAATTCACAGCTGCTAATCTTTTGAACCTCAAATGGCCTTTTGAATGTAGTGCATGCTATGTTAGTGGCCTAATCGAATATGTGCAACTGAATGTAAAATTTTAAGCCAAGATAAAAGAAATTAGGAGGGAAAATTTTGGGGTGCAACAACTGCCCCTATTTAATCGCCTTCAACCTGAAGGTGAGATTGGAACCAACCTTTCGAACATTCAGGGTGGAAGAAGATTAAATACTTAAAGAACCCGAAAATTTGCACTCTGAAACCAGTCAGGCATTATTATATTTTTTTTTCTTCTGTATTTTCTATATATTTTTTGATTTTTTTTTGGATTTAATTAGTTATCTGAGTAAATCTCTTGGATGTCGAGTCAAGATTAGACATACACAAGATAGAGACCGACCGAAGAAGGCTCTTACGAAGGGATGCCAGTTGAAGGAGAACTTACCAGGGATACAACTATACATTGACTCTGAATTGAACACCGATCGGAGGCGGACTTTACCAACGAAAAGGGATACTAGGCGAAGGTAAACCTAAGACAGAAAGACACCGGGAGAAAGTGAACTTACCGAAGGAAAGAGAATGTCGGGCGAAGACGACCCTTACCAAAGGAAATAGAACATCGGGCAAAGACGAACCTTACCAATGGAAAGAGAAAGTTGGGCAAAGACGAACCTTAACCAACAAGAAGGGACACCAGGTGAAGGTGAACCCAAGATGGAAAGACACCGGGTGAAGGCGAACTTATCAAAGGAAAGAGAATTTTGTGCGAAGACGAACCTTACCAAAGGAAAGAGAACGTCGGGTGAAGACAAACCTTAACCAACAAGAAGGGACACCAGGCGAAGGTGAATCCAAGATGGAAAGACACCAGGCGAAGGTGAACTTACCGAAGGAAAGAGATAATCGGGCGAAGACGAACCTCAACCAACAAGAAAGGATACTGGGCAAAGGTGGACCCAAGATGGAAAGACACCGGGCGAAGGTGAACTTACCGAAGGAAAGAGAACATCAGACGAAGACGAACCTTAACCAACAAGAAGGGACACCGGGTGAAGGTGAACCCAAGATGGAAAGACACCGGGCGGAGGTGAAGTTACTAAAGGAAAGAGAACGTCGGGCGAAGACGAACCTTAAGCAACAAGCAGGGACATCGGGCAAAGGTGGACCTAAGATAGAAAGATAGCGGGCGAAGGTGAACTTACCGAAGGAAAGAGAACATCGGGCGAAGACGAACCTTAACCAACAAGAAGGGACACCGGGCGAAGGTGGACCTAAGATGGAAAGGCACCAGGTGAAGGTGAACTTACCGAAGGAAAGAGAATATCGGGCGAAGACGAATCTTTAAAGGAAGAAAGACCAACCAAAGGGGACTCTAAATAGGGATTGCCAACACGCGTTGGGCTTTAAGAGTTCACAAATACGTAAGAACTACAAAATCCCTCAAGCCAAAGGCAGGGTGTAATTCTTCAAGAGTGGCAATTGTCTGAATTACCACACGCCAAATATGGATACTCAAACACTTGAAAAGCAAGAAAGGCTATACATCGACTCTTACTCGCATTCTAACGACAAAGCAAACACGAGTAAAATAACCAAAGGGCTTGCAAGGGAAAGAGAAAAACCCATGACTTACTGGGGAAATGAGAAATACCAAAGACCCGACTGATGGTAAGTCAAACAGACTCCGTTGGAGAAATAGAATATAATCACCCTAAGCTTCTTGTGGAGATAATTCAAATCTGAGTGCGTAACAATTTAGTCACCATGGGTAAACCTAATTGACTTATACTCATGCATGTTTGAATTTTTAAGCATAATGCCCCATACAATGGAAATGCTACGCGTTTGGGTAGATGCAATATAATGATGCATGTTTAGCAATGCACTGAGGAAAGCACATTAATAAACTGCTGCTGAGAAGACAATGAACTCCCGAACGCTCATTCTTGCACATCTGATCTTCTGTAGAGAAAAGGAAATCTGAACTTCAATGGGGCAACGAGACTCGGAACCACCAACCTTGAACGATTGATAACATTGAAGAAATAACCTCCTGGAAAGAATACTGCACAAATAAATTACAGCTCAGTGAAAATCTTCAATTCTGATCAGACTCCCAACTTCCTGGGGAATAAATTCCTTATCTTTTGTTAGAAAGAAGAGAGCTTCGATGGGGATGGAAACTTTATCGCGTAGAACTTCTTGACGAAGATAGCTTCTACTGGGGAGTATGGAAATTCTTAAAAAATAATTCTACTCAGACCAGACTGGGGATAACATCGCTTGGGGGAAAGAGTCTTCACTTGGGGAAGAAACAAGCATCCTGGGACAAAAACTCCACTGGTGATATCTTCAACAAAATCTTCTATCAACGGGAAACGAGTTATGACTGGAGCTCCTATGCACACCACACTAGGGATATAGGACACTTGCTCCACTAGGGAAAGAAGAATAGCTCCACTGGGGAATAATAGGTACCTTGCTTCAACAGGTTCTTAAAATTCGACTTTGACTGGGTATAAAGACTACCTTTTATGCTGGGGAGCCACAAAAAACTTTAGATGGCAACATCAACAATATCCATTGCACTAGGTATAACCATCTATGTAAGATTCAAGCCGACAAGAAGTTTTGTACTGGCAGCAGAAATCATTTCATTGCGGATGATGGTCGTCTTCATGAGGATAAAAAACTAGAATCTCCTGTAGATAAACACGAGTCTCTTCAAGAACTCTGATATAGGCAAGTCGTGTTGGAGAGAGAGAGAGTGCACACTTCACTGAGTAGGAGAATGCATACTTCATGGGGAGAACAAGTGAAAACCTCACTGGGGAAGCCATAGACTGTTGACTTCAAGGGGAGTATACCAAAATCTTTGGTTAATGAGTAAAATGATTCTTCCTAGAAAACCTGGAAAGAAACAGACTGCACTGAAAATGAGGGATACTTGGGGAGAAAGTACGCCTTTACTGGGGAATATACTGCAAAAATAAATTGCAATTCATATAAAATTCTGCACTCTGATCCAACTCCCAACTTCCTGCAGAAAAGATCCAATATCTCTTTCCAAATATAAAGAGAATCTTGTTGGGAACTGGGATCTTCTGATGTCAATCCTTGATAAAAGTGACTTTGACTCAGGAATCATAGAAACTCTTGAATAAAAGAATTATACTTAGGCCACACAGGGGATAATACCGCAAGAGGTAACAATCTTTACTCGAGGAAGAGAAGGGCGTCTTTGAACCATAAGCTTGAGGTTCAAAACTCCATCGAGGAAATATTTTAGCAATGCTCTATCACTGGGGGTTAAAGAACCCTATATGGCACTCATCTATGCACGATGGGATTTGCGTTTGATCGCAAATGTTGCAGTTAGCAAGAGTCGTTACTGACTTTTCTTTTATCCAAAAAGGAAAGGTGAAAAAGCACAGGAAAGAGCTTTGAGATTATTTCTCGAGTTCGAGGGGTAGATTATGAAAATGGAAGGTATTAGCACCCTTTTCATCCATGGTTTTCCACGGGATCTTAGTTGCTTGCTAGATCACTTGCTTTTGTTTGAATGTGCTTGTTGTGTGTTTTTTGAAAGTATTTTGAAAATGTAACTTTGTAATGATTCTCGTTTCTATAAGAACGCATACCAGGTGTTTGTTTCGAAGATAGTTCAAAAAAAAAAGGTGTTTGTGAGATGTGTTTTTTGAAAGTGATTTTGAAAAGGTGTCTTCGTAATGATTCTCGTCTCTATAAGAACACATACAAAGTGTTGTCTTTTGAAAATGTTTCAAAGTGAGAATGTTGGTGTATAAAATTTTTTTGTTATGAGCAAGCGAGCAACTATGAGCGTCCTACCTACTCAAAAGGTCTAATGTTCTTTTCTTCCTCCTTTAGATGTTGCTATCTTACCATTGTTTTGGTAAGAAGCCCCATCGTTGGATATGAAGGGACAGACGTGGGTCATCGTATAGTCATAGAAGGCAACCTATGGATGTTTTAGCAATGTCGTTTAGGGACTAGATCGTTTACCGAAGGCAACATCGAGGGTCATCGAGGGACTACGATCTTTTATCGAGGGTCTTTGCTAAAACGTCCATGTTTGAGGGACATGACTATTTTTCCGATAGGCAACAAGTGAGATTACCCTAAGGTGTGCATATGTGCAAAGTGTGTTTGATTGCATGCACTTTTGTCTTGATTAGGGTTCTCTATTTATTAATTTCATGTCTTGCCATACACCCTAATTACTAGCAATATATAAAAGCAATAAAAAATGCAGAAAGTAAATATCCTACGGTATTACAATCATTATGGGGATGGGGTGTACAGATTTACAAATGGGGATTGCAAATTAAATTAAATCCTAAGTTACTATTACAACTATATCGAATGGATAAGAATGTACAAGAAAATGGGAAATAGACTTGTTTTGTTTAAGAAAAGAAATAAGTTTTGTTTAAGAAAATATTTTTGATCTCTTTGTGTTAAGAAATAAAATAAAGCATGTAAAATGTAAAATGTTTTTGGTGTTTTTGATTAGTGAAAATAGAAGTCATAGCAAAACTAGTAAGGAAAAACAAAATAGAATCAGCGCATTGCTGAACTAAAAGAGATCAGAAGTTCTGACTCTGGCGTGCTACAAAAACAGAAATCATATTAATAGAAATAGGTAAAGTCAGAAGTTCTGGGTCCGTTGGGAACAAAGAAGATTTCAGAAGTTCTGATGTCACTGGCAGAACTTAGTCTCCCTCTCCATGCTAGTCAGAACATCTGCAACTTAGTCATTTCTCAACAGAACAGAAGATGCACATATAACAGTTATGGCAGGTTTCATAATGTTTCAGAAACAAGAGATATCAAAACTATAAATCATAAGCAAGCATGAATTTGCTAATCCTAATTTATTTAAGAAGTTCTAAACTAATTTACTCCCTTCTTAGGCATACAAATATGTGAAACCTCAGAATACGTACAACATCAGAATCATCATGTCTACATTGTATTTTTTGAACATGCAAATATGATAATGCCTAATTAATATGATGAGAGTCAGCAGAAGCTTACCTTGCAGCTGGAAAATACTCTGTGAGCTGGAGTCTGATTCTGAACTCTGGTGATATTATGAATAGCTTCTTCACCTATTCAGCAGGATGGAAGCTTTCAACTTGGGCTATGAATGATTGGAAAATTCTGGGACAACCGAGGATTAAAGTTCTGACTTCTTTGAAGCGGATATTGATGGACATTATGTTACAGTTTGACTATAGAGGTTAGGATGGCTTCTGAATGTATATCAAAAACTGTATGGATGGCTTTGGTTAAGAAACACTTGAGGAAAAAATGGAGTCTGAATCAAGAATCAAAAGCTAACAGGTTTTGTATTTTTGTGTTTGCAGTTTTTGGACTCTTAGAATTTTGGCAGGGGTTCAAGGCTTTTTTCTTTCTCTAATTTTCGACCTCTTTACAGTTGCCAATGGCTTTCAATTTATAGGCAAAGATCTTGTAGCTTGGAGAGTACAACCATCACATGCTAGGGTGCTTCCTTGTTCTTGAAGCAAGTATGGTGGTTAGCAGCTTTAGCAGCGCCTAAGATGGATTTGTAAGCAGGAATTAAGGAAAGGTAATCTCAAAAGCAAAAGCAACGCATGGGCCCAACACACTCCTGTACAAAAGTTTGATTTTCCAAGATAGTAATGGTACTTCCATGCCACACGTTGAAAATCCTTTGGACAAAGACCCAAAAGTGGTTGTGAGCATTAAATGATGATGAGATTTATCAAACTGGAAATCCTGTAATGTGAAATTCTTCATCATTGCTTAATTCTAGATCAGAAGTTCAGCTTCAGCGTAACTTAGAATAAACATCCAACTTTTGAGCTTTGTATCTCCTTGCTCCAGCATCTTCTGAAGGAGTTTTCAAACTTTCCAGGAAGCTTGCAGCATGTTTTATAACCTTCTCTGAATTATCCTTGCAAACTTTAACTGAACCTTTATGAAAACTGGCCCAGATGTTTTGACCAAAATCTGTTTTGAAAGTGTCCATAAGTTGATGAATGCTTCAGTTTCAGGGACGTGTCTTTGAGGATTTAACTTGAAATCCCAACATTTCTAGGAGAAGTTCTGTTCTGCAATTTTTTAGATCTTATTGAAATCTATAACTTTTGTGCGAGAAGTTCTTCCAGAATCAGC